CACCAAAATATGCTTGTTATTTTGGATACAAGCTCATGAAGGGATAGAAGCATTAGATGAAATTGGGTGGTGGACAAAACCTTGGGTTATAGGTTTAAGGCATGAACCACTCCATTTTAGACTTCATAGGTCATGGCAAACACCCCTAGAAGGTGAATCTAAATTTAATGTCGATGGCTCAACTCAAGGAAAACCGGGGCCGGTTGGATGCGGTGATGTCCTAAGGGACTCTGAAATATATGTGCTTGGAATCCTTTTTTGTCCTTTAGGTGTTCAAGATTCCAATTGCCCAGAAATTATGGCCATCAAACAAGTCTTCCTTTTTTGATGCATCACCCTTGGCAAGTACTGCTAAACTCACTATCGAATCTGACTCTCAGATTGTTGTTTCTTGGGTTCACAATGTTGATAAAAGGTCATGGGATAAATAGGCCATTTTTAATCAAATTGATGTGCTGTTGCATTCACTTAGCAATGTGTCCATTGTCCACACCTTGTGTGAAGGTAACTCATTTATGGATACACTAGCTAAATATGGTGTTGATGCGATGTCTATGTTCACAGCGTGGTGGTAGCTAACTGTTACATATGTTTACTGCTTCAACCATATGTTTTTTATGGTATGTAACGTCAATAGGTTCCTTTGATTGTCAAATTTTGAACTGCTTTTTATTTGTTGATAATTTATCATAGGTGTAATCATGAAAGGTCATTTGGTCTTCTTTCATGCACTCTTCATCTTAATCAATAAAATCTTATTGTGGTTTAGCAAAAAAAAAATGTATGGAAAGAACCTCGATGATAGTTACCAAATAAACAAGATCACAAGAATTTAAAGACATACCTTTGCCCGAAGGATTGAGGGATTGCTTCATAAAAACTTGCAACCTTTTCTCACTCATGTTTCCCAACCTCCTTGGCGAAAAGTTTACTGAAGCATCATCCTTTACTACATTTATTTAACCACTGCATAATTTTAACCAAGCGTCGTACATGGAATAATACAGTTTTCCTTTTGCAACTAGTATAAACACCTTAAGAAGATTCCATATCTGCCTTTTTTTTTTTACTAACTTATATCTTTCCTTCTCAAGGACATTCACCGCTAGCAAGTTCACCCTTAATTTTGAATGTCTCACATCCTTCACTGTTAACGTTCAACAAGTACTTATTTCCACATCAGTATCACTAATTCCTATAATCTGCGACATTTTTATTTCTCGTTTTAGTATGCCCAAAGTCTCCTACATTGTAATCATGAACCATTTTTTAGGAATATATGATATGTTGCACAAGTGTTAACTATCCATTCAATACCTTGGTGATCAATATGGTTGCAATCACCATGTCCGCAAACCCAAGTAACTGTATCATCATCAGAATTCACGGTTGCTACATTGCTATCATTTGAACTCTTCTTACCTTTATCCATATTTTATCTCATGCCTCAAAATCTTACTCTGCTTGATGTAACCAACTTTGCCAAAATAGTGGCACGTCACCTAGTCCCCTCGACTTTGGCCGATTCTGGAACTTACTATGACTTTTAAAGTATTTGCCTATGTTCTTAGTTTTGCTCTTGTTCTTTGTGACAAAAGCTTGATGAGTCCCATATTCAATATCCTTTCACCTTGCTTCTTCATTAAACATATTGTCCTTATCCATTCCTAAGGTCAACATGCCATTTAAAGCCAAATTACTAATAGTTACAACCAATGTTTCCTAACTAACTGACAAATAACTCAGAAGAAACAATGATTGTGATTCATCATCTAGGTTAATTTCCATAATAATAAGCTGAGTCACCAAACTTAAAAGTCACTCAAGTGATCAACGATTGATTGTCCCTCTTTGTATTCCAAATTAAAAGGTTTTTTAACCGCAAAAGCTTTATTTTTGGCAATCTTCTTATATAGTGCAGTTAGCTTTACCCAAACACTATGGGCATTTGTCTCCTCTGCTACATGATGAAAAAAAAGTGATATCAACCCATTTTCTAATGGTCTATGATGAAAAAAAAAAAAACTCATTTTCTAATGGTGGCCAACATCTTTTTGCCTAACCTTTTTTAATCATCACCAAACATATCCTTTGGCTTAACAAAATCACCTCATACCGGATCAAACAAATCCTTACAACATAAATGATCTTCCATCATTGGTTTCCAAATTGATTAATATCAAGTTTTCAATTTCATCATGGAACCCGAATCACCTTTCAAGAATTTTTTTTTTGAAAGGACCACCCTTCATGATTTAAAGTGGTAACATACTCTAATAACAATTGTTGGGCCTCAAGCAATAAATAACACAATACCATAATATCCATGGTAAACATATAGCACAAATCAAGCCAACGATGACCACAAGATAATAAATTCAAGCCAATTAATAAAAAAAAAATTGACAAGTATTGTACGTATCAGCTAAAAAATAAATAACATCAAATATACATGGAAAACCCTCCAATGTAGAAGGAAAAACCATGGGATAAACCTAATAAAATCCACTATAAAAGAAATAAGCAAACTTACAAAGTTTAATATCTTAAACATTTTAGCACAAAGCTTAAGATTCACAACAATTGGAATAATATAGTGAAATTTCCTCTATAAGAATCCCAATTCTACTATCAAAGAAACCTAATTGCTAAATAAGCTTATCTCTCTCTTACCCTTTCTACAGAGCAAGAAAAGAATTTTTTTTCTACAATTAGTTGTACCTTACATGTTCACCAAGCTTATTACACTAGTCGACTGTCCATTAGGAAAAAGAAAAGAAAACCTTATCATGGCCTTAATTTCCAATAAAACAAGCAAAATGGGGCTAGACCCCATGTTGTCCATTGACCAAATAAACATAATAGACACAAGCCAAAGTATGTTACCATCCATTCCCCATGGTCACTCTTGAAATTTCTTACTACTTGCATATTTAGCTATGTATCTTGCCTTCAACTCGTCCCAAAGTTATTTTGTATTAACCTCATTCTAATACGCATCCAACAATGCATTTGACGCTTCATTAATAATGTGTTCCATGCAAATATAATCATCATTATCCCATTTTTGCCTTAAACGAATCCAGTTCATAGATTCTTCTTCATTTTCTTCTGGTCTTGGTGTAGTTAGAACATAGACAACCTTTGTATACCAGCAGATAAAATTCCTTCCTTTAAAGCGATATAATTTGACAATATTAGTAACCATCTCTTTTAAGGAAGCCATTTTAGTTGAATTCCAAATACAAGGAAATCAGCTTTAAAATTGTTGGAACAATGGGTTGTTAGAATTCAAAGAGAACTTGTAAAATTGACCTCAATGTGTGCTATAATAGTCACTATCTTTAACTATCATTTCGCCTAAAGCATTTGATATGCAAAAAGGAATGTTCAAATACCCTTGAAAATATAATAAAGTTAACATCTAACTTCGTCTTACAATTACAAAATTAGATTACTAGACACGACTTAAAAGTTATAGAATTGTCATGACCTTATAAACTTACTTTTTGCAGTAAGTAGATTATAAAGAATTTAAATATTTTAGTAAACAATATGAACTCAAAATATTTATATGCTTTTGTCTAAATTTTTTAGTCATTTCATATCTCAAAGTGGTTGCTAGCAAGTTTCTATATAAACTTGTAAGTGTCTCTTTGTTAAGGAAATAATATTTTATTAAAATACCTTTTGTCTTTGGATATGCACAACCTTTAATTTATAAAACATAACTTTTATAATAGAGATATTTTTTCAATAATCACATAATTAAGTAATTATGGAGATAACCTTTCATTTTGAAAGTATATCAACAAACGATGAGAATGTCATTCTCTCTTGTTATATTCTCAAAAATATTGAAAACAATCCTAATACAATACACAACCTAAGTGAAGAGTTAGAGAAGTAATCAGATCAACCTAAAAGATATTTTCTTTATTTATTTAATGAAACCACGCGATACTTGTTGGTGAATAGGACAGGAGCTGGGGCACAAATTGTTTGTTCTCGCACGAAATGGACCCACGCTATGTCCACATCGATCATTACTCTTAATGATTCGTTGTACATTCCAAAATCTTGTCATGTTGCAATGTCACATCAAGCAAATAAAATAGTATTAAATTAAACATTTACCTTTATTAAATTTTAATAGAATGGAGGGTCCTCAATCATTAATTAGTTTTTTATTTTAAAAAAATAAAAATATTTGAATTCAATTTTTAAAATATATAAAATATTATATTTATTAATTAATCCAAATACTCAAATGCTAAAATTTTAATATTTAATAATCTAGCATAAGGGTAAAGCTAATAATAATATGTTAGCATATAGATAAATACTCTGTTCGTTTTTTTGTCTTTTTTTATTTTCAGAAGATTAAGACATAAAATTTGAATTTAATGTATTTTATATTAAAATTTGAAAGTTTTTTATAATGTAAATATCTAATACTTTTTAATAAGAAAAATAAAAAAATCATAAAAAATAAATTTATAATGTAAAAAAGTAAAAATATTAGGTATTTGAAAAAAAAAATATTTTGAAACATTTTGAAAAGATAAATAAAGAAGAAAAAGACGAAAGAGTATTTTGATTTTTCTCGTTTGTTTCTCTTTGTAGGACACTCCACAATCTAATCATATGGAAAAAAAATAATTTGGGGTCATAATCCCTTTGAATTGATTGATTCAATCCCTCCCACCACAGCTTTCGTGATATCTTTGCCCACTCAGGCCGTTCTCCCTTGTCCACCTATCACCTCAAAAATTGCCATTTCGGCACATACGATTCCAGCCATTGCTCGCACATCGAGACCTCCAAACAAATGATGGGGCAAGTTGCCCAGCCTTCGGTCCTACGTCGGTTCTTCCTTACGGAGCCCGTGGCCCCACCCAGTCCTTTGTTTTTATGTGTTCTCTCGATCATCAGATTCAGATCCAAGCCACCAACAATTCCCATCTGGAGAATTCCCTTTTCTTTTCTTGTTCTAAATTCTCATCTTATTTTTTTTTTAATTTTTACAAATTTTACTAAATTCTCCAATTCATTACTTGTTAATATAAGAATATTACCTTTAGAATATTTTATATTTGAAGTAGTGAAGAATTCTTTAAAAATGTGGTTAAATGCCAAATATTTTTGTGAGAATGCAATAAAATTTATCGAAGGCCAGTTATTGCTTAACCTGAACTCCTTATGATCTCCATCGAAACTGAAGGACATAAACCTTTTTCATATATATACTTGCTTAAACAATACACATTATTCAACAGAATATGGGAATTTTAAGACCAGTGGCTGTTGTTACAACGCTTTCTACCATTCTCCTATCTATTTTATGGAGGGCAACTTTAGATTTAGCTCAGGAAACATTTCTTCAATGTCTCTTAGAGAATTCTCTCCGTTCCCATCCCATCTCTGCAGCAATCTACACTCCTCAGTCCTCCTCATATTCATCTGTTTTGGAATCTTACATTAGAAACCTTCGATTCAATGAGACCTCAACCCCAAAGCCATTCCTTATTCTCACTGCATCGCACGAGTCCCACATCCAAGCTGCCGTTCTTTGTGCCAAAAAGCAAGATATTCAGATGAAAGTTCGGAGTGGAGGCCATGACTACGAGGGGTTATCTTACGTATCTACTGTTCCATTCTTTGTCCTAGACATGTTCAATCTTCGATCTGTCGATGTAGATATAGGAAATGAGACTGCTTGGGTTCAGACAGGAGCAACTCTTGGTGAAGTTTATTACAGAATTGCTGAGAGGAGCAATATTCATGGCTTCCCAGCTGGTGTTTGCCCCACAGTTGGTGTTGGCGGTCACCTTAGTGGAGCTGGCTATGGTAATATGATGAGAAAGTACGGCGTTTCTGCCGATAACATTATCGATGCACAGTTTATCGATGCTAATGGCAGACTTCTTGACAGAAAATCTATGGGTGAAGAACTTTTTTGGGCCATTAGAGGAGGAGGAGGAGCGAGCTTCGGTGTCATTCTTGCATATAAAATTAAGTTGGTTCGTGTTCCGCAAAAAGTCACTTCGTTTCAGGTTGAAAGAACACTGGAAGAAAATGCAACGGACATTGTTGACCAATGGCAACACGTTGCAGATAAGTTGCCTGAAGAGCTCTTCATCAGACTTGCCTTGGATGTCGTAAACAGCAGTCGAAGCGGTGAAAAGACAGTAAGGGCTTCATTCATTTCCTTGTTTCTTGGAGATTCTGAGACACTCCTTTCCATCATGAATGAGAGGTTTCCCAAGTTGGGTTTAAGTAAATCTGATTGCATTGAGACTAGCTGGGTTCGATCCGTCCTTTTTTGGGCCGACATACCCATCGAGACAAAGATCGATGTTTTGCTGGATCGAACTCCTCAAACATTGGTTTCCTTGAAGAGGAAATCAGATTATGTGAAAGAACCAATTCCCAAGGCTGGTTTGGAGGGGATTTGGAAGAGAATGATTGAACTGCAGGTGCCAAAAATGTTCTTTAATCCTTATGGTGGAAAGATGGCGGAAATTCCATCAACAAAAATTCCATTCCCCCACAGAGCAGGAAACCTATGGAAGATTCAGTATTTAGCAAATTGGAATGAATCGGGAATTGAAGCAGCAAATCATCATATAGGTTTGACAAGGAAGCTTTACGATTACATGACTCCTTTCGTGTCCAGGAACCCAAGGGAAGCATATCTCAACTACAGAGATGTTGACTTGGGCACCAGCTACAATGGAAAGCCTGTCTACTCGGAGGGAAGAGTTTATGGGATCAGGTATTTTAAGGGTAATTTCGATAGATTAGTGCAGATTAAGAGCAAGGTTGATCCTAGTAATTTCTTTAGAAATGAACAGAGCATCCCAGTTCTTCCATATCAAGAGAATAGGGATGATCAATGATGACAGGTAATAACTTTTTTATTGGCGGTTACTATCATCTCTTAATTTTCTGTTGATATACAATGTGTACAACTTGTCGTGAAACAAAAATCTAGGTAAGATATAAAATGCATTGCTATTTCAGCAGCCAAAGTCTGCTGCTTGTGGTCGCTGCTTTGCTTATTCTGGCTTTTGGAGCTGCTGGACTGCTAAGTCTTTTGATTAGCTGGTTTTTGTGAAGGCGCTGTAAGATTCTTCAAACTTGTTTCTGATCTTTGACTTGGATGACCATGGATTTATAAGTCCTGCTTTTTGTTTTTGGAACTTTTTTGTTCTGGTGTTTCAGGCTTTTCCTTTGAGGCTGTGTAGTTTAGGTTCGTTAGGACTGATAAGCGGATCTTTTGTTGCTTATGCACAGCTTTTCTCGCTTCCAAAGCTGTTCTTATGCCATAAGGAGTCTTTCACCAAATTGGTTTAAGACTTGTAATGGCATTCATGCTTTGGCGCTTTCCATAAAACTCACTTTTCACAAAAAAAAATGTTTCTTGGAGTTTCTACGTTGAGTGTTTTATGTTGATGGTGACTTGCGGGAGACAACCCTTCTCCAGGACTCTCTTTGTTGTCTCATTCTTTGGTTGTAAGAGAATTTCTGGCTCATCACTGTTTTGGACGCTCTTGGTTTGTCTTCTTATGTCTCTTGGACTATCGGTTCTCAGCAGCTCAGATGGGATTTGTTTTCTGTTTTTCCTGGTCCAGCTGTTGTTTTGTCTGGCTTTTTGTATGTGCTTCCTGCTTTCTTTTCTCGCTCGCAAAAGGACGGAAGAAAGTTGGCTCCGCTGGTTTGCTTCTCTTCTTTGATCAATGCCTGGAAGTCTTGAAACATTTTCCTGTAGCTGTATATTCTGAGAGGTCCCTTCTTTTGTGATGTCCCTCTTTTGATTGATAGTGTCGAAGTGCAACAATGTTTAATGTTCCACTTGTGTGCTGCTGGGGATTCTCAGTCTCTTGTGCTCATCGCCTAGGTTCCAAGTCGTCGGTGTGTCCTGAAGGTTAAGGTTGTGATGATCCTTTGTGCCTGGTGTTTGTTGGGGTGTCTAGCTTTCTTCTTCTCTCTCTGCTGGATTGGTGTGATGCTCTCCGTGGTTGAGGAGGCATGTGACTGTAGCTTTTTGAGGTGCTGGCTTGATGTCCTTGATTGCTTAGGTGTCTCTTGGGGTGCTTCTTCTTTTGCCGGTCCGAGCTTTTCGTTTTGACGCTTGTGGCTTGTGTTTATGTGGTGCATTTAACTTCGTGCAGGCTGCCTTTCTTTGGCTGTGGAGCTAAATGCTCCCCTACGCGTAGATTTGTGTTTTGACGTTTTGTCCTGGTAAGCTACTTGTCTATTGAGTAGCAGGCCGCTTGGGAAAATGTGCGGTTTTTGTTTCCCCCACCAACCTTTCTGTCATGAGTCTTTTGCAAACAAGCATAGGACGCAGGCCCTTTGGGAAACTGTACAGCTTGTGTTTCCCCCACCAACGTTTATGCCATGAGAGTCTTTTGCAAACAAGCATAAGACTCGAAATGACACGTTAGTGTTGAGATCAACAAAATACACTTTCCTACCATATATACTCTCTTTTAGAAGAAAGAAAAAATAGGCAGAAAATTGAGTTTAAAATTATGCGGCACCAATAGCTCAATTTGCAAAAAAAAAAATTCAAAAATTAATAATATATTCTTATTAGCACATGTTTTTATTTTTATGATTTGATTCTTTATCTAGATTCCCAACTGGTGACATCGAAACTGTTGAGTTTGAGTGCTAACTTATGGGTGTCCATAACTTATGTGTATTTATTTTTTAATTATTTATAAAATTTTAAATTTATATATTTATGAAATTCACGGATAGTTAACTTAAAATGTATAAAATGTAAACAAAAGGAAATTTTTTAAAAAAATTTATAATTCATGAAAAGCAAGTGAACCGATATTTAACTTTTCTTCTGATCTGTACCGTTAACTTTGAGAGCTCATTATTATCGTTTTTATGTGAGGATTGAAATACAAATTTCAACCTTTTGCTGCCTGCCATTAAACTCGTTTCGTATGTTTTTGGAAAAAGTATACAGAGTTCAACGTCATATATTATTTTGGCAGCCTCGTGTCTCTCAAACTGCGAAAAGAGGTGCATGTTCCTCGTTGCTTGCCTGAATGGGCAAGGCTTTTGAGTGCGTAAACAAAAGCTCCTAAGAACCAGTCCAAAATTAATGATCATGCAGCTCAAAGTAATTCTAACTATGTACCTATAAATACCGACACCCACCACTCCAATACTCACAATAGAAACCAAGTAAATTTAAGTCTAGTTACTCCTCATGCCTTCGCACACTAATTTCCTTCTTCATGCCTTTGTCCGGTTGGCCATTGCAACCACGGCTCTTTCACAAAGATCTCCCAAAGTCTATGACAAGGTTTGTCCCCAAGCTTTGCCAACCATCAAGAAAACAGTGCAGGCTGCTGCCCGCAGGGAGCTTCTTTACTTCGTCTGCATTTCCACGATTGCTTCGTTAATGTACGTAAATTCAATTCAAACCTTTTATCTTTCTCATTGATTTATTAAGTTGTATTTTCTAAGTTTCATGCATTATGTTATTGCAGAGTTGTGACGGTTCACTTCTTTCGGATTCTACGTCTACTATGGACAGCGAGAAAAATGCACATGGAAACTTTAATTCTGTGAGAGGATTTGAAGTGGTAGACCAAATTATGGCTGAAGTATACAGATTTTGTGGACGCCCGGTCGTTTCTTGTGCAGATATCTTGGCTGTTGCAGCTCGAGATTCTGTAGTTGCGGTAAAGTCAAACTCATTTTCATTATCAGAAATTTGTCAGTTGAATTCATAACATGCATTTCTAATAAAACTGGTCATGGTTGCAGCTAGGAGGCCCGTCATGGAAGCTTCATTTGGGTAGGAGAGATTCGACCACAGCTAGCAGGACCTTAGCAGACACTGCACTTCCATCTGCATCCGTGGAGCTCCCTGCATGGATCAACAACTTCAATAATCAGGGCCTGAACCAAAGAGATCTTGTAGCTCTCTGGTGGCCACACCATTGGGCTGTCACAATGTTCTATCTTTAGGAACAGAATTTACAATGCCACAATTGCTAATGAGCGCAGAGCAACTTGCCCACGTGTCGGAGGCGACACTAACCTCTCTCCTTTTGACCCTACGCCTGCACGCTTTGACACTGCATACATCAAAAACTTGGTGTGGAAGAGGGGACTACTCACCTCAGATCAGGCACTTTTCAACGGTGGCTCAACTGATAAACTTGTAAAGTTTTACTGCTTGAACCCCGACGCTTTCTGGGATGATTTGCTAAGTCTATGATTAAGATGGGGAACATTAAGCCCTTAACCGGAAAGCAAGGACAAATTCGTGTCAACTGCAGGAAGGTAAACTGATGAAGCTGCTGTGCTCTGCTGCTCTCCAACTCCTATTTCTCAATCAATATTGTTTTCTTAAATTAAGCATTGGTGATCTTTGTATTTGTTGTTGAATAAGAAGTCTTGACTCTTTTATGGACCTTTAAAAAATTGTTTGATTCGTTGTATTCAGTTCACAATTGTTCAGGTCAAGTGTAGAAAAAACTCTTGATTTTAGTTATTGTGTCTCCTCATATAATCTCACTATTATTAATATTAGAGTTAAACTGAAGGTAGCTAGTTGGTTAGACACAACCAAATAATATTATAGTTTTATTTTCCGAAATTAGTTTAAATCAAATTATTTCGATCGTGGCTGATCATGTTTATATTTCCCCAAAAAAAGAAAAGCTAAAGTCTGTAGATGAGTTTCTGCTTTTCGCTCTCTCTTATCCACAATTCTGTGTCCGTGGACATTAGATACAATTAAAGCATGATTTCCAGAGTTAGAGAATGCCAAAGTCCGTCATCAATGGCGTCATCATGAGGACTTCTCAGTATATGGTATGCATTAGTTTTATGTGCATGTTCATGCTCAGCCCTCTTTACATTACTATGATAAATACATGGGCTATGTGTGGAAGAAGAAATCAGTACTTAGGAGACAATCTTTCCCAACTCCTAAATTGTCTATATGTATGTATGTATGTATGTATGTATGGTGCAAAGAAGAACACAAAGCAAAGTAGAATAAGTGATTGAAATTAGGATTTATAGGATACGTTCAGCATAAATATCTATAAATTGTAATTTAATAAGATTTAAATTACAGAATATAAAAGTTTGATCGTCGAACCAAGTTAATTAATCAAAGTACTTGTAAGTAATTGATGAAGAGTCCATCAGCCTCACAGGACATTTCACAGCAGCTGTTAGCCCATTTGGAGGCTGTGATCTAAAATATCAAGTGGGCTTTTAGGGTGTCAAGCACAATTAAAATATTTTATTTTTCTTTTGATTTTTTGTCCTCGAGAAATTAGGAAAACAAAGAAGTCCCAGCGGCGGTCAAAAGAAAGAGTCAAACTGGCACCTGTTTAAGCAATTCTGTTGGCCACAGCGGGAGAAAGGAAACACTAAAAAGGAAAACCAAAGAACAAAACAGAAAGCCCACTGAAAAAACAGAGACAAATGCTCCCCCCATTTTCAACAAAACATAAAACCATGGAAGAGGAAGAACACCGTTGCTTTTCTTTCTTTCAAAAAGTCCACCATCTTCGTATATTTAAAGCCAACTCGGAGTTACCTGAGCACAACAGAACCAAAGCAGCGGCAGCTTTTCGCGATTCTTGATGATGATTATGTTGAGATATCTGAGAAGAGGAATGTCAACTTCCACCAGGGTCAGGGCCCTTCGGCGGTCATGGTGGGACCATGTCACTCCAGCTCCTAAGGACCCCATCAATGCTGTCACTGAGGCTTTTCTTGCTGACCCTTGTCCTTACAAGATTAATCTTGGAGTGGTAATTCTTTTTCTTGTCCCCCTTTTGGCATTATAGAAAGATTTAGTAGGAGTAATAAGAATAACTCTGGGAGTTTTCAGGGAGCATACAGGGATGATGATGGGAAACCCCTCGTGCTTCAATGCGTTAGAGAAGCGGAAGGCAAGATTGCGGCTACCAATTTCTTGTGAGTTTCATTTTCATCATGTTTCTTAATTTGTTTGCTTTTTTTTTTCTTTTCCCAATATTTGATTTAATTCTATTAGAACTTAAATATAAAAGGTTACTCTTCCTTATCATCTTAAATCTTGAAATAATTGATTCTTTTTACTCATTCATCTAATTCTCATATGTTAGAAACTTAAATAAAATTTTAGTTCTTCCCTATCAGATATTGGTGCTAATTTTTTATTGGTATCTCTATAATAAATTGAAATGATGCCAAATTTCGTTGAATGCCCCTGACTTCAGTATTTGATGCATCTGTTCAAAGCTGCATTAGCAATGAGATTTTGATATAGTAACTTTTTTCCTTTTGTACTTTTCAGATTGAGCTCATTAAGTGTTCGAAAATTCCAGTTCTTTTGTTAGAAAATATCCTGAATTTCTTGACCTTCGGTTTCAAAATCCTACATTGATAGTAAAAAGCTTCCTACCCTTTCTTGAAATGTTCTTGCTAATTTATTGTTGGTAAACTTGCTCTTCATCCTAAGTTTATATAAATTCTTTTCTTACCATTTGGCAGAAAAGTATGAGTTCATTGTCTTTATACGTCTTCTAATCTCCTGAGATGTATTTGCAGGGAGCCAACATGTGCTGCACTTGGCTCAAAATTGGTTGAGGAGAGTGCAAAATTGGTTTATGGAGAGGATTCGGATGTTATAAAAGAAGGGAGGTTTGCTGGAGTTCAGGCTCTCTCTGGAACTGGTGCATGTCGTTTATTTGCTGAGTTCCAGAGACGATTCTACCCTCATTCAAGAATATATTTGCCTGATCCAACTTGGTCCAAGTAAGTTATCTTATTATTTCTCATTTCTTATTGTTTATTACAAAGAGAATTATGCAAAAGTTATTTGCGGTTTAAGTTCCTTTGCTTCGCATGGTTCTCCCCCTGTACCTGTGCTTAAATCATACTTTATTCCCATTCTGCAGTCACCACAACATTTGGAGAGATGCTCAAGTTCCAGTAAGAACCTTTCACTACTACCATCCTGATTCCAAGGGTTTAAACTTTGTGGCACTCATGGATGATGTCAAGGTATAATGATCCACCCCCTTCCCCGTCCCCAAATGGACTCCAGGGCAATTATAATATATTTTCAACAAAAATATGTCCCATACATTCATAATACCATCAATCAGTTACACATTGGCATGTTTCTCACCTATGTATCATTCCGGCAAAGTCAGAGACAAACCTTTTCCAGTCAAGCATGAAAGGGCTACCCTGAGAAATTTTTTCTTTTGCTATAACTTCTCCAGAACATTGCAAGTGATATGCTGACCTACATATATACATATTCAAAACACATTCACATACAATGAAGAAGTTAAGACTATGTTAAATGCTTAATGCACGTCTAAATGGACAAAGTTACTAGTTATGCAAACACATTTTCATTTTTGCTGCCACTAGCTTGGATTCTATGCAACACTACAATATTGCATACTTGGATGCTAGATCTGTGAAATACTGTTAAATGTCTCAACCATGACCTGAAATCAATTATTGACTGCTTTTATTTTACTTTATTTGATGGTTCTTGTAGAATGCACCCAATGGTTCTTTCTTCTTACTTCATCCTTGTGCCCATAACCCTACTGGGGTTGACCCTATTGATGAGCAGTGGCAAGAAATCTCAACTCTGTTCAAGGTAATGGCGACAGTTATATTACATTTGTCTCTTATATCATTACTGCTTTTATAATTTTTCCTTGACTCATTTTTAGGTAAAGAACCATTTTCCCTTCTTTGACATGGCTTATCAAGGTTTTGCAAGTGGAGATCTAGAGAGGGATGCCCGAGCAATTAGAATTTTCCTTGACGATGGCCATCTAATAGGTTGTGCCCAATCTTTTGCAAAGAACATGGCATTGTATGGGCACCGAGTGGGTTGTCTCAGGTCAGCAAATGTTCTTCATTTTTGTTTATAGTTGGATGTATATATTTTTACTTCTTAACCTTCGTACACAGCATGTGCTTATCTTTCTCTATCTGTGTTTTAATACTCTGAGTACCATTGGATTCAAATGTGCTTTGTTTCCATATAGAGACCACTCATTACAGTCCAAAAATCATCATGCTGCGATTCAATTGATTAGAAATTAGGGCTTACTACTCATAGGTATTCATCCTAGTCAATCTTGAGACTGTAGATTCTGATTTGCTAGGGCTTATAAGCATGTATGAGTATACTACCATTAATCAAGAGAAGCTGTAACATGTCTGCTAATTAATAAATAAAGAGAGCAGTTGATGCTTATTGTAACCAAATATATCAATGGTAATGAATTGTACATTAGAAGGGCTTAAGTTTTCAACAATGATTTTGTATTCTCTTGTGTCCTTATTGTTCTTCAATGATCTTACCTGGCATTTATGATTGTTTCAGTCTTCTCTGTGACAACAAAATCCAAGCAGTTGCTATCAAGAGCCAGCTGCAGCAGATTGCTAACACAATATATGGCAGTCCACCTATTCATGGAATGCTAGCAGTCACCAAAATCTTGAGTGATCCAGACATTAAATCCATTTGGCTCAAAGAGGTGAAGGTATATTTTTCAAGTTTCTCTTTCCTGTTACACTGTCTCTTTACTTCAATTTTCATTATTACATGTATTAGGACAATTGGTCTGATGCACCTTTTAATCATATCTACCTGTTACAAGGACATGGCAACTCGTGTTCAAAGAATGAGAGCTACTCTAAAGGAAGCTCTTGAGAAATTAGGTTCTCCCCTCAATTGGCAACACATAACTAACCAGGTCAGTAATGGAATTAGATGTTTCCTTGGTGCTGTTTCAAGTGTAGAGAAAAATGTATTTCAACAGATAGTCACATGTATTTTGCATTTTAAGTCATCAAATATTCAAAATTGCAGGTTGGAATGTTTTGTTTCTCTGGCTTAACTCCTGATGAGGTGGATCGACTTGCGAAGGACTTTCATATATACATGACATATGATGGACGCATAAGGTATAGTTATCATGTCATCATTGGTTTAATTCATGAAGATTTAGACCATGTAACAGTCCCCAGATATGGTAGTAATACGACCTGATCCAAACTTTATTCATATGGCAAATGGCAGCATGGCCGGAGTGACTACAAAGAATGTTGATTATTTAGCAAATGCTATTCATGAAGTCACTGCATTTGATCAGGATGGGAAGATATTTTATACCGTCTGCGCATAGAAGGTTAATACTGACAAGATATATGGTTAGCAGAATCTGAATCCTGCTATTTTGGTGTATTTTTTTGATGGCATCATGGTTATCTCCAAGAGTTTAGGCTGGTTTCTTATACTTGGAAGTTTCTCTTGGACAAACCAGGATAGGATAGGTCTCTGTCAAAGTCTATTTGAGCAGATTGATGTGTAAATTTACAGTTTCATCTGAAGGTTGATGCCACAGAAGTCTTAAACAAAAAGATTTGAGACTAGGAATGGCATACTAGCGCTGATGCTAAAACTGCCTTTCAAACAAAAAATGCTGACAGCTGCTTAACTTCCCTTGATTATAAAACTGATTTCCTTGCATTAAACAATCTCCAAAAAAGTTAGGGAAACGAATTTATAGCATATGATGTGGGTAATTGGAACTTTATAGCATATGAATGCCCCTAATACGGATGCTATTTTCATTATTTTCCACAAAATATAAACTTTTTCTAAGTGCAACGTACAGGTTATGCTCTGTTATATATAGAAAGTTGATTACATCTTATTTAATTATAAAAGGAGATGCTATTTACCCTAAAGGAAATGCAATAAACTCCTAAAATATGCACATCGCTAAAATTGAAGCCATTTGTAGTGAAACGCCAAGGTATTAAATCGTCATACGTATGTTGTTAATTAAAAGATTGAGAAACAAATTTAGTGACGAATTTGCCGAACTCGTTTCTTCTCCTTTGCCTTATCTATGTACGCTAAATACTATCGTTTGCTTTGAAAGCATGAGGCATTCATGATTCAAAACAATATAATCATGATACCAAAAATGCTTTCACCCAAAGTTTCGAGCTATCAGTCTTGAAGATAAGAGAGGCTTTAGTTTGAGAATAAGTTTTAATCCTCCACCTTGAATACCAAATCCCCTTTTAGCCTTCTCAAGAAAAACAAAATAGAAAAAATGATTAGAGGTTGCTGTTTGTACTACGCCAAGCTTGCTCTGCGAGCTTTGTAGCAGCCTTGAATCACTGAAAGTACCAATATTGATGATATTAGCTGCTTCTGAAGAGAGCTAGCTACACTGTTGAACTTGATTAGAAAAGGCCATATAGCCTGTACAAAATGGATTCTAGGTATATCAGCCGAACAAGCAGTTATTTCTGTATAAAATATCCGATACAGATAATGGCCCACCCTCACATGGAAGCATCCGCCGTGGACAAGCCCAGGTCACTAGCTGCAAAACTGCCGACAACTTGGCGTAAAGAATAAGTGTTGGTTGTTCTGGGCTCGCTTATTTACTTTTTCTTTTCTTAGCTTTGAATGAAAGGTCTAGGAATGAGATATCTTTTACTACATTTTTCTTTGTTCTCATCTTCTTTGGATAGTCTTTTGTGTTTGCTGACTTCTTTAGATACAGTCACAAAAGGAATACCCTACTCTTTCTACAAAGATTATCAATGTATTGGACTCACTTTAATTTGCCATACCATTTTGTCTTACATCTCATTCAAGTCTAATTGTCTTACAATGAAAAGAGGCTCTCTCTATCTAATTCAATATATGAGCTTTTAGCCTATAGAGAGTTGATAATATATATATATATACATGGGCAAACCATGCTTTTCCTTAAAACATTCTTTGCTTAAGTTCATTGTGGCATTTTCCTTAGCTTGGCAGGTTACGGACGTAAAAAGCTAGGTTTCCCCAATCTATTTTGGAACTACTATTGTTTTAGGCGAGTGTGAAATGAAAGAAGGGAATGCAACAGATGGTGATTGACTCTTTATACACACAACAAACGTGCATATATTGATGAAAAGGTTGAAGCAGGTGAAAAAATTTATGTGGTTACTGACTAATTAGAAACCAACACGAGGTTTCCTCCCCTCCAAAATGCGACAAAATTTCTACACTCTAGTCGAAGGCAGTGCCGAAAGATTCCAAAAAGATCAGAAACCCAAATTAAATATCAAGATAGGAACCTGTATCCATCTTTCCTCTATGTAATAAATAGTCAAACAAGGGGAGAGAGAGGAAGAGAGGAAGAGAGATCTGCGCAATCAACCACCCATTGCATCACGAAGATTATGTTCTTTTCAAACGCGAGTAAACTCTGTAACAAAATCTCTAGTATCCTTTCAAAGAGTGCTATTTCTCATTGACAATGCTTGGGGGTGAAGGTAAATGTAGGGTACGGTACTAATACATGTCCAAAGAAAAGTAAGATGAAAACTGTCAAAACCCGTTGTTGAATAGAAAGTAAGAGCTAAGGCTCCAATATTCCTTTGTCTAGTAGTAAGCTGTCCTTAAGCATATACGCATGGATCAATTAATACAGCCAAACCCTATGTTTTAATCAAAGCTTGTTTCTCTTCACATTTACCAATTAATGATTCTTTTCGTTGAAACTTTAAGCAGCTCAGCCAAGCAAGGTTTACTCCTGCAAGTAAAATTTTCTCTCCTTCACAATCATGAATTAAATCCAAACTTAATTACTCACAAAGTGATTCTGACTGATCGGGGAAGAAAGCTAGAGAGACAACCTAGCTATCAGAAAATGTAGTTGTTGACCGATATAATTATTATGTAACGAGGGTAATGATGATTATGAGGGTAACTGGAGCTCTCTCTCTGCTCCATAAACATAATGAGGTTCTTATGATCACGATAGGAGTTTATTGAGAGTGTTTTCCTTGAACGCGACTTACTAAATTAAGTTTCATAAGTTTCTACTTTTGCCAATTTAAGCCGCAAGTACACCTTTGGGCTGATTACTCTTTACATGCAGAGAGTAATTGTAGTACTCTTATTAACAAAAGAGGGAAAAGAAGTATTTAACGGGAGAAGAGAGAGAGGAAAAAAAAGAATTAACAGATGAAGAAGCTAGGTGGTGATTACAGAAAGATACATCTGAGAAAAACATAACTGTCTTTTTTTTTTCCCTGCAAAACTACATGATTTGCTACCATAGCATTCAACAGTGTTTGGGCGTTTTGGCAGTTTAAGCACCATAGAAGAACTAAGATACCTAGATACGATTAAAATGTAAATCAACAAGAACGAGAGAGAGATTCTCATCCAGAAAATCTATATCTTGGCCAGATCCGCGGTCAAAATCTGATAACAAGGCTTTACGTTCACCAGCCGTAGCATCCACGAAGCTTACCAATACTCCCCTTCCCAATGGCAAAACACAGAGTTGAAGTTGGTGATCCAATCGCTGCTGCTTCTTCATCATCTTCTCCTGAATCAAACGATGAACCCGGGGTTGAAAATCCATTCCTCCTCTGATACGACATAGACGAAGTCGACAACGAGAACAACGAAGATGATAAAGATGATGACGAAGGTGAAGTGACAGCGATTTTCTTCAAACTGATCATCTTCTGAAACAATGCGTGCATGAGACTAGATCTTGAGTGCTTCTTGATGGTTTTAGAGCAGGACTTGGCGTAATAAGAGGGAGGAGGAGTGAGAGGAGGAAGAGATGTATCGGAGAATGTATATTTTGGGGTACCAGGCTGGGATTCCCACATGAAGGGGACAGCACCAGGGACTCCACCATAGTAGACCCTGAAAGAAGGATTGGCCACGGAGTTTTCCTTGGATAAAAGCCTGGAAAAGAACTTGTCATCCTGCTTAATTTGGAGAGTACTCTTCTGGGGAGGATCAGGGCTTGTGCTAAACATCTTTGGATGAGTATTTATGGTGTTTTGGGTTTCAGTGAGTGAGGAGATGGAGAGAGAGAGAATCCCAGAGGAAGTTATAAGCTTTAGGCTTTATGCTGGCTCTGCATACTTTTGAGGTTTATATTATAAGAGCAGGACCAGCAGTGCCGATCAAAGTCATATTATTGTATAGCTAATATTTACTGCTACACATGCAATGCCATTGATTTTTGATTTAAAGATTTGTGTCAAAAGTGGCATGCCTCCCTTACCAAAGCTTTGAATGACTTAATATACTTTCTCCATTTTGATGTCACCATCTTTTACGACTTCACCGCCTAGGCCTATCTTTTAACTCTACTTGGCCGGGCATAATCCATAACGTTTTGTCACCCAGGCTTTTACTAATGGTTTAAATGTGACTACACAATATTAAATAACTTAATTGAGAATAATGTTGATTTTCTTTTAACGAAGAAGCGGCCCTTTAATATTAAGACTTATTATATTCAAATGTTAAAACTTTATCATAGCAATGGGGTTTTACCATTTTTATAACAAACGAAAAGGTTTCAAAAATCATAAAACTAAATTCATAAATATATATAATACAATATAAAATATATATAAAAAAAAGAGTTTGAGTTCTGTTAAAATAGATGGAAAAGAAAACTGTTTTTGTATGAAATGTTTCAAAATGCAAAATAAACATTTACTTTGAGATAAATAAAGTATTAATTATCAAATGAAATTATTCAAAAATTTCATATATACACAATTCTTTCACAACATAATTTATGTAAGTGGGGGACTATTATTATAAGATGAGAAAATGAGATGATATGATATGATATATATATATATATATATATATATATGTATATATTTATTATAGTTCAGGTGAAGTGGTGGCTGCGGACAGACGTCCGTCTTCAGCCATTGAGTAGGACCACGCGATGCTGACATGAAAGGCTACCATTGGTTGAGAGGCAACGGATTCTGTGAGGTCATTGTCCCTTACTAACAGCTCTGATCCACAATCGATTACCTTGCTAGGATTAAGAAGAGGCATGTGGTCCAATGACTGTCGTCGCGGGCCTTGGCTGATTAAAATGTCCGTTCAATCAGACCGTCCACATGAATGCCCAATGAGCAAGTGGCAATGCTGCAGCCGTTCGCAGCTATATCTTGCTGCACCTCTCTCTTGTTTGACTTCCACAGTCAGGCAAGTGTTGTTGAGATTGAGGATGCTGCTACATATGAGCAATTTTTTTTTTTTTGTTTTTCTTTTTCTGGACATAAGTTCTGTTCTCTGGAACTGGGTAGAACTGGATGAAAGGCTTTCTAATTCTATGTACGGATGTAAATAAGCTGAGCTGAACCAATTCAACGCCGGGCTCGAGCTCAATTTAGGTAGGAAAAGAATCGAGCTACAACTCGGTTTGAAAAAAAATCGACTGTGACACCAACTCAATTCTCATCGATTTATGTATGTGAGGAGTTCAAAACTCAACAAGCTCAAATTTAAAATATATAAATAAATATTATATTTTATATTTATATAAAATATTAAAATGTTAAAAATTTAATAATACGATAAAACTCGTAAATTACTCAAGTCGAATATTGCAAAGATGAAATTCGACTTAACTTGTTAATCGTGGAAAAGTCGAATATAGTAGAAGTGTCAATATATTGAGCCAGATCCAACTGACATTTCTAAAAGCCAAACACAGCTCACTCAAGCCAATCCATTAAAATTAAATTTATTACTATTAAAACATCATGCTCGATTTCTTCAATAAAATTACTCATGAGTGATTTGATTCATTTATGTCCTTAACCTTGATTTTTTTTTTAACAAGTGATAATTCTTTATATTTTCATCTTTGGTGTGGTTAAAGAATCAAAATATATGACACCACAACCTTAGCCGTTAACCATATCTTAAGGTAGTATTAAAGTAACACTTATATGGCCGTTTTCATGACATAATGATGAATCAATGGTGATGTAGTGTAAAAAATTAAATATTATTTTAATAAATTTAAAATTGATCACCGAGTCATTTTGAATTTTTTTTTTAATTTAAAAGTAACATGAATTTAAAAAAAATCATCGTAATATAGCGTAATGGTAATATGCAAAAAATATTTTTTTTTAAAAAAAAGAACACATGACAAAATTCTGTACGTATAGCTTGATTTAAATTATTTTTTATTTTTTATTTTCATTTTCCCATTTGTATGATTTTTTCCATGGTATAACCTCTTTGAAGAATGATGCAAATCGCCACGTAACCTCAGAAATCCACAAACCCCATATCGTTTCAAAACAGCCGCTTCTCCCTTGCCACTAGAAAATAAAAAACATTTTTTATGTCAATAAATTGGCTCTTCAAATATTTGTGAAATGACAATATTTTAAGGACTCGAGTCCAAGACTATATAGCCATTTGCACGCTCATCACTCCTCGGTGATTATTTAAGCATCATTAAAAAAATGTTTTTCTTTTTTTTTTAAATAAAATTTGCTATCATGTTTGACTTTTGTAAGGAATATATGTTATTTAGACAAAGTCGTGCATGATATGTGCTCATTTCACCACCGCCCATGTCAATTCGTGTGATTAATAAAAATTAGGTTTTCAAATTTGATTACGCTATGACTAGGCCTGACAAAGACTTTATTTTCAATTTCCAAACGAAATTTAATTTTTATTCTATTTAAAACACTTTGTAGATCTTAAACAATAGCGTAAGTTTTTAATTTAAAAAATCCAAAGTCTAAACATTTAACTATGGTCTCTCTCAAAGTCTCTAAATATTATAATACACACACACATGCTTCTATATGATGGCATTTGGTGTGGGTGACTATCTCAAAATTCATATGATAAACGATGCGTATATAAAAGTATACATAATTTAATTGAAAATAAAGTGTTAACTAGGTCATGAAATAGTTGTATATTAATATTTTATCTGTTAACTTATTACAAAGATTGTGTACAACTTTCATAATTGCATACCGATATTTTCTCTAGAAAAACATATCAAAAGTCTTTGATATAGGATGATTGTAAACTAATTATGAGATATACTATACTAAAATATCAAATTCTCCTTGTAAAAGAAAAGATATGCCTTGTTAATATAAGTATTGAACACCAATGCTCTCCAAATTAGACCTTGTTAAATAAACACTTAAACATTACGAAAACAGTCTTTTGTTTCCACTTTCGAAATTATGCAAATTCTTTTTGCATTGATTAAATACCCAAAGGTTGGCTTAGCTAGCACCCATTAGCAAATTAACTAAGGATGGAAGAAAAGAATAAAAAAAAATTGGGGGGAAGTAATTTAGCGAGAAAGAAATCAAATAAAAAAAGTATGTAAATATGAGTGAATATTGATATTCTTAAGCTAAACACACATGAATTATAATAATTTGAAGAAAAGAGAGAGAAAATTAGATGCATAAAGTTTAAATTTCACAAAAGTTATTTCAATAACTATTCGATACACTTTCTATCATTTAAAATTAAAATAAAAAATAAAAAGTCTCTTAGTAACAATAGTGTAAACGAACAAATTGGTCTATATTTGTTTATAATTTAGCAATATTTGGTCTATTACTATAGAAGTAATATAGAAGGATAGTGGCAAGCAATATATATTTTAAATTGAAAGCAAATTTGAACTATATATTTTTTACATTAATGCATGAGATGAACTTTACCTTTCAATGTAAAGTAGAATAGTATGGTAATTATTAAATTATGAATTCAATTTAAATGATAATGAAAGGTTAAATTATGCAATTAGCCTCTATACAATAACAAAGTAGTAGATTTAATCCTTATACAATAATTTGTAAAAATTAAATTCTTATACTTTCTAAAATTGATAATATCAGTCCAATTATTAATAGTATTTAAATTTTTTATTATTTATACTAGCATGACATTTTCTTACTAATGTGGCATTGAATATGATAATTTATTAATGATAATGTGACTTTTTTTTATCTATTTCATAATACTTTTTTCATTGTTTTAAATTATGATACGCAAAAATTCAAATTTTTTTATCTCACAACACTCTTTCTCTAAACCATAAAACCTTATTCGTATTTTTGATTTGTTTATTTTCCAATCCTCTTGAAAACTTTTACCATTCATTGGATAATTCTACACTCACACTTATAAAACTTATACCAATGTTTGTTCACATCATGTCAACACTACTATTACATCATACATAAAATGTTATATCATTATTATCATATCATCAGATTTAATACCACGTCAATAAAAAAAATCACATCAACACAACCAAACATCATATCAATATAGATAATAGAAATTTTTTAACACATTGAACTAGCATTATTAATTTCGAAAAGTACAAGGACTTAATGTTTACAAATTATTAATAGAGACTTCATCCACCATTTTGATAGAATATAAAAAGTAATTACATAATTTGACCAAAATAAAACTATCAGAAAAGATTTAATTACTTCAATAAATACTCTTCTAAAATCAATAAGTCATGCTCGACATGGGTCAAAAAACTAGTTACAATAATAAATAAAATTTTTTATTTTTATTTTTTTAATTTTAAAAAAAATTTAAATATTACTTCTTAAATCAAGAGATTATATATCAATCAATGAGTCAAATATTTAAGTATAAAGTTTTTTTTAATTTGATGAAAATGAAACTACTATCTTTATCTTATGATAATTGAAAACAAGGCATACTTTCTCAAACCCTTTTTAGGTGAAAAAGGACAAATATCAGTGGTTCCAAAAAGATGATTGTGGCATAGCCCATGCTGAAGAACCCATTTTGAAACTTGATGATGATGGCTACCAGACACATAGGCATGCATCTATACATGCCGGGGTGGCAAATTGGCAGTGAAAGCTGAGCTATTCAAAATGATTTCCATGGCGACGACCATTTGCCATTTGCATGGTCATGAACAAGTCGGTAATCCAAGCCCACCAGCATAACAAACTAATTATTTTTCTAGTCTTTCTAATATTCAGAGAACATGGAATTAATTTTTAAGACACTTTTTGAACAGTGTACCATTGTAATGAAAACTGCTAAGTATCACAGTTGTCCGTTCGCTGTTGTACCCAAAAAATTAAAAATAAAAAGGTATGGTTCAATTATTCAATTACTTATAAAATAATATTTTTTTCATAAATTTACTAGTATTATTATTTTTATGCTCTTTGAAAATATTGAATTATTCGATTTTCGAACAAACTAGTACATAAGTAGTGAAACAATCTATCTATCTTGAATTCTTTGTACAATAAAAGGAGAAAATTATTTTTTTTAATCACTTAACTTTTAAAGATTTCCTGTTTTAATTATATAATTTTGAAATATAACATTTTGGTCACTAACATTTATAAGTGTCATTATCTTAATCACTCAATTGTTAAAAGAAATAGACCTCTCGTCTTGCACGTAAATTGCTTTATCATAGGATTATGCCCAAATGACAATGAAAACTTTTTTTTTTAAAATATCTTTTTGCCTTATACTAGCACTTTATACAACGGTCGGGTAATGATTTTCTGCTAGTAAAAGGGAATGCAATAGTAAAGTGTATATATATACAAATATATATATATATATATATAATATGTATTTGCCTGTAGCAACTTTCAAGTGAGCTACCAACCATAATTTCTTTCTTTAATTACACATTGATCTTAAGGAGCGTACTTTGTCCTCTTTGAACAACCCATTGTTCCATGACCGTTTGCTAAAGCAATGCTATCATGCAGAGCTCTCTGCTTTTAAATTTGATGCAAAACTGTAATCAAATCCTCCATTTTATTGCTAAAGGTGATGCAATGATTAACACACACATAGATGTATATCATTAATTATGAATGACAGAAATGTGATCCAAATGAAATCTTTTTCATTTTCAGTGATTAGCATAATTATAATTAGATTAAGTAATCATATAGGATTAACGGCCTTCATATTGTTTCTGACAAAAATATTACGGATTAAGTGTGGCAAACTAGTATTATCTTTGCTTTAAAAGAGAAATGTTAACCATTGCATAATGACATTGGTTAGGCGATACATAAGTGAAAAAAAAAATTGCCTTTAAAAATACATTATCCTCTTTTAAATTTGGTAATTGAAAATTTATTTTCTAATATAATATAATATAATACATTATCCTCTTTAAAAATACTTACAATTAATGAAAAAAACACAAAAACACCTTAAAAAAACTATAACAACAATTTTGATGAATTTTTTTTTAAAAAAGACAGAAATATAAAACAGGCCAGCACTTAAGTAGAGGCTTTTGAGCTTTAAACTTTAAAGTCCGTTGGCATTTATTGCCGTTGAAATTGTGTGTCCCCCCACTGCCGCACGCGCTTTAGTCACTTGTCAAAGTACCCAAATATTTCCATCCACCCCAAGGGTAACCACCCAAACGTAAATCCGCGCTTGTTTTCCATCACAACTCCATTTAAGCCCCGGAAAATTGATCAAAACATCCAGGACATTTTTGGAAATTCAAACAAAAAGAAGTAAAAACTCGAAGTTTCCGTTTTTTTTTTTTCCCTCTCTCTCTCTTTCTTCTCTTCCGTGGTTGAGAGCCGTTTCCTACTTTATAGTACTGTCGCTTTGATTGTCTTTCACTCACTCACTCACTCACTCGCACCAACTGCAAAAACTCCAAACCAAACATCATTATCTTCTTAGCAGCTGTTTAAGGTTTTTCTCTGTTGCAGTTGTTTTTGTTTGAGTAAGTTTCTGGGTTTTGTTTGAATTTTTTGAATGGAGGTGGACAGCAGTGAGCTTGGTGATTCGGGCACCAAAATGGGTGCTCTGAAGGGTGGGGTCAGAGCTGAGATCGATACTTCTGCCCCGTTTGAGTCAGTGAAGGAAGCCGTTTCTCGATTCGGTGGAATTGGTTACTGGAAACCCTCTCAAAATAAGCTCATCTCTGAAACTGAGGTTTAATTTCTACATAAATGGAAAATCTTTGTTTCTGTTTCTAGGTCTTTCTAAGAAATGTTGCTGGATTTCATTCATGGGTTTGGCTTGCTTTTTTATTTTGCTGGTTGATGTTTTGGTCTGTTTTGTTTGCGATTGGCTGTGGACTGTTTTATGGAATCACAAAGGAATCAATGTGGGTTCACAAAGTTTTAGATGTTTTTAGCTTAGGATTTACATCGAAAATTTTAAGGCTCTGTTTGGTTGTCACTTTTGCTAGTTGTTTTTTCCTATTTCTATTTTGCTGCTTTAAGTCTTGCTATGATGTAAAAGGAATGGCAGAAACCAAAATTATAAGGGTTTAAAGATGAATAAATCAGTAAAATGTAGCATCAATTTTAACATGATTCTTCTATAGGAATGTAAAATCATGCATTTTTGCTTAATTCAGCGAGAATTTAAAATTTTCAATATTAAATTTCTTTTTTCAAAAATATTGTTTGCTTTTCTATGCATGAGCATTTTTTGCTTTTGATTCCAGAAGCACAAAACAAGTAGCAAAAGTAACAAGTAAATTGTAGTTGAACTTTCCCCTCAAGGTTGCTGTAGCTGGTAGAAGGAAAGAATGTGTATTGAAGAGAGTAAGTGTGAGAGAATAGACAAAGCCTGGCAAATCTAAAGTAGGATGCTCCCTAGGATGGTTTCAAAGTTGATTATGCATAGATTTTACCACATGGTACCTTGTGATAACTTTTATATTTGTTGCAAGAGAAAGTGGTGCGAGTTATAGCTGAGACATTCAAACTGCAATGCTTGTATGTAGTACTAATAAATGTGCTTTCTATAGCTTAGTTGGGAACAAGAGATGAAAATTGTTTACGAGGCTTCATGTATCATTTAGCACATTCCATGCACTCATGAAAATGAATTTGAAGCATTTAATATATTCAGAAGTTTCACAGCTTTACTTTAACTTTGAAGCTTCTTCTATTATTGTGCTCTCTGTACAATCAACTTTGTTATTAATTATTTTGGAGGTCTCTCATGTCAATCAATTGGTTGTACTCTTTGGGCTTTTTTGTGTGGTTTGGGTTTTAGTTTTCTTCATGTTCCATGAATGTTTTAGAAAATTTAGTTGCTTCTGCTTGTAGGAAGGAGATAGAGCTTTTTTTTTGTCTTTGACACCGCTAATTGATATTACTAAAATGAATAGCTCAGGTACTACCTAAGTTTTTGTTTGTCTGCCTATGAATTTTTTGAGATTTGGTTGTCTTCTGACAAATTCTTAATATTTGCAGCATGACATGGAAGAAGTTGACATTGCAAAATTGGAGGAGCAAGCAGCAGAATTGGGGAAAGATCTCATTGTTAAGGAAAGAGAAACATTGGATGTGTTGAAAGAGCTTGAAACAACCAAAACAATTGTCGAAGAACTAAAATTAAAGCTGCAGAAAGAAGCATCAGAAGTAAATGGGACCCTAAATATGAACACAGATGTCAAGACTGTGACCTCCGAAGTGAAAGAAGCAGAGAAAGAAAATCATCAAGGTGGTCATCCAAACTTGGCAGGAAGTTTGAGCCCCCACCCATCATCATCTCCAGGCTTAATCTTGATGGAGTTAAAGCAGGCCAAACTGAACCTTTCCAGGACAACTAATGATCTTGCTGACATTCGAGGTTCTGTGGAATCACTAAACAAGAAATTAGAGAAGGAAAGAATTTCTCTTGAGAAGACTCGAGAGAGGCTAACTCAGAATTCCTCAAAGGTATCATCCCTCGAAGAAGAGTTAAATCAAACAAGACTTAAACTGCAAGTAGCAAAAGAGGCTGAAACCAAAAGCAGTGCTGATAATCATTTGGATATATCAAGGGAGCTCCAACGTTTGAGTTCTGAGGCTGAGCAATTCAAGAATGTTGGAGAAGCCGCGAGATCAGAGGTTTCAAGAGCAATATCTGAGATTGAACAGACTAGAACAAGAATAAAAACAGCTGAGATGAGGCTACTTGCAGCAAAAAAAATGAAGGAAGCTGCTAGAGCTGCAGAAGCTGTGGCTTTGGCAGAGATCAAGACTCTTTCAAGCGGGGAGAGCTCGTCTGGCATTCCTATTCAAAAGGCCGAAGGGGTGACTATTTCATTTGAAGAGTACTCTTCCTTAAAGAGCAAGGCTCTAAAAGCTGAGGAACTTTCTAACGGGAGAGTGGTAGATGCTATGCTCCAAGTTGATGAAGCAAATGGTTCAAAGATGGAAATCTTGAAGAGAGTAGAGGAAGCCACGGAAGAAGTCAAAACTAGTAAGAAGGCCTTGGAAGAAGCATTGAGCAGGGTAGAAGCTGCGAATAAGGGCAAGCTGGCAGTTGAGGAAGCTCTTCGCAAGTGGAGATCTGAGCATGGTCAGAAAAGACGTTCTGTACACAACTCTACCAAGTTCAAGAATTCTTACCCATCTCACAATCGAAAGGATTCTCGTTTATTGGATGTGAATGGACTCAATATGGTTAGTGATGGTCCAACTCCTGTTTTGAAGCCAACCCTATCAATAGGGCAAATACTAAGTCGGAAGTTGCTTCTGCCTGAAGACTTTGAGACTGAGATGCTGGCAGAGAAAGGCACTGTGAAGAGAAAGGTGTCATTAGGTCAAATGCTTAGTAAACAAAATGGTGATTTCCCCTCCTTTCAGAAGACAGAGAGAGAAAGTGGTCACAAGCAGTTCTCTGGAAAGAGGAAGAAGTTCGGATTTGCTCGGTTTTCACTGCTTTTAGCCAAACAGAGTAAGAAAAAGAAGAAGCCAACTCTTAACTTAAGGTAGTGCGGTGATGGGGTTCCTTTGTTCTAAGTGAAGCACTAACTCTTAATGTCTATTGTTGACCTCGTTTCCCTTCACGTTCCCTGTTTTATATTGTGTTCGCTAGATTGTATTCATCCTTGGTCTGAGCTGTTTATCTCTATGGTGCTTGTAAAGATGCCTATATCTGATGTTATGTAAGACCATGTTAAAAAATCCTGTTGTTTTTTAGCTTGCATGAAATTTGACTGGATGCTGTGCCATTATATTATGTGTTGGTTGGGTATTCTTGCAAAGCAAGAGGAAATCTTTCCCCATCCCTGTACTTATAACTCAGCCGGCATTTCGAAGTATCCCAACGCTGTTACAACTAACACAACGATTGAAGCAGGGACTACGTTTTTATACCAAACTATTAGAGGGGCAAAAGCAACTTGCAAAACGTCCTTCCATAGATCATTCCATTGAGGGCCGTTGGAATCGTCGTTCCAATCTGATGTAACCTAAAGAACCAGTACCTTCCGTAAAAGAAGATTAATTTTAAGCATGAGAGCGGAGGTCTGAAGAAACCGAGTAGTCCAAACGCATACCTTTCACATCTGAACTTTGTTTGCATTTGAAAATATGTAACGGTAGCATGGTTGTGCCTAAGGCGGAGCTACCCAAAGTTTGTTGAGGGGTCAAACACAAAAAAATAAGAATTAAAAATTTTAAAAAATTAATATATTGAATTTAATTAATAATAAAAATATTGATAATAGAAATATAAAACTAAATATAAAATTATAATGTGTAAAATATAAATAATTAAAAACTATATATAAGATTAATAATTTCTTTTTATGTAATCAAAATTATTTAAAAATTATATATTTAAGATTATTTCATTTTAGCTAAATATAAACGTAAATCATATAAAAAAATATACTCAAGTTAATTATCTCTTACATAATTAAGATTAATTAAAAAAATGATACATTGATAAAATTTTAAATAATAATGTAATACTATAATTTATATTTAAAAACTATATAATAATTTATTAATTTTTAAAAATTAAATAAAAAAATAAAATCTACATAACATAAAAAAGAAAAATATAACAAGTAGAAGAAAAAAAATAATATGGTTAATAATTTGTAGAAATTTGAAAAAGAAAATTTTTAGAAACGTAGAATATAAGAATAAATAGAATAAAAATAATAATAAAAAAATTTAAAATTAAGTGAAATATATGAAATTATTTTATTATTATTTATTTATATTAATTATTAAATAAAAAATTATTTTGAGAAAACTATTAGTAGAATATACAAAAAAATTTAAACATTTTATATGTTATGAAAATTTTTTTTAAACATTTTTGGAGGCCGTTGCCCCCATCGCAGAAGGAGGCTCCGCACCTGGTTGTGGCAACTTTACACTGTTTGCAAAGCTTTCTTGTGGAATACTTGGATGTGACTGGTCGGGGTTTGTTTTTCTTTTGTGTATGGTTTGATAATAGTGGGCAGGTTTTTTGTCTGCTTTCTGAATTGCTAGCTAGTGCTGTCAGGATGCCTTTTTGTAGTTTTTTTTTTTTTTCAATTTTTGTATATTTTTCCTGCTCTCCCCCCCATGGCCTCGCTATTGCTGCAGCCTGTTTCCTGTGGATGCCTGGCATGCTGATGATGGTTTTACCTATTCTAATATACAATAAAGATCTACACAAATAAAATAGTAATAGTATAAAAGAGAGATGAGGCAGGGCAGGTGGAACTCACAATTGCCAAGAGAGATGAGGATGGGGGGTTCATTCTTCTAACCCTTTGAAAGGAATTTTGTCTGTCCTGCTGCCGGTGCTGAGGGTGGGTCTGTCCTTTTGTAATGTTGTGCTGTGGTTTTAAGCGTATGGCAGCTTTCGTGGAGTTGATGCGATGAACTTCTTTCATATATATGGTGGGGTTTGTGTTTTAGTTATCTTGTTCGGTGGTTGTCGTCAATGTTCTCTTTGGCTATTCCTATCTGTTTCAACCTATTTATCATATTAAGTCTTTGTGTAGCCTCTCAAAATTATAACTAATACTAATAATCACCCATCTAGTGGAACAAAAATCCAATCGAACGTAATCCTTCTTGCATATTTGAATTTTTGGCCTTCATTGCTTCATTCATATGGATCTGGAATTTTCTTCTTTGTCCATCCTGCTCAACATCCTCATAATCTTGTTCATCTTTGTGAGAATAGTTCAGAGATCTAAATCTGAGAATCCTGCCTTAAGGCTGCCTCCAGGGCCGCGGAAACTATCTCTCATAGGAAACATGCACCAACTTATCGGTTCACTACCCCATCACTCGTTGACAAACTTGGCAAAGAAGCATGGCTCCCTGATCCATCTGAAGACTGGAGCAGTTTCAAATATTGTAATATCTTCACCAGAATTGGCTAAACAAGCTTTGAAAACCAATGACATCATCTTTGCTTCTAGGTCCTGTCTACTTGTTTCCAAGGTCACGTCGTATGATTCTACAAATATTGTTTTCTCCCCCTACGGTAGTTACTGGAGACAGGTACGCAAAATTTGTGTAACAGAACTTTTTAAGTGCAAAGCGCGTCGAATCATTCAGAAAAGCTAGAGCAGAGGAGGTTTCAAATCTCATCAAGACAATTTCTTTATCTGAGGGTTTACCAATCAATCTTAGCAAAAAGATTTTCTCATTGGCTTATGACATAACATCAAGAGCAGCCCTTAGCGAAAAATGCAAAGAGCAAGAAGCATTCATATCCATCATCACTCAAGCCAGTAAGCTGTCAGGAAGCTTTACCGTTGCAGATACGTACCCTTCTTTTAGACTGCTTGAATTAATAAGTGGAAGGCCCAAATTTGAGATGCTACATAAAGAAACCGATAGGAACTTGAGGGCATCATTGCCGAGCACAAGGAGAGGAGGAAAATATCGGAGGGTGGCAATGGCGCCCACGAAGTGAAAGATCTGGTTGATATACACTTAGTTCTTCTGGATAATGGCGAGCTGGAGTTTCCTCTGTGTGTTGACAACATTAAAGCAATCATCTTGGTCAGTTTTCTAACTTTTAATTTGCTGCCTATTGCTTAACTGACAGTTAAAATGAAAAATACATGCTCATTGCACAACTTGTTATAAGAATCACTGTTTCCATTTCCAATCTAAAAGTGCCGATATATACTGTGAAAAACGAATATTGGAATAGGATAGGAGGATGCAGAGGCAAATAAAATCATAAATTAAATGCAACAAAAATAAATGAATACAGCACAAGATATATCAATTTCGATATAAAATAATATTACATATGTAGATTCTAATTTATTTAACAGAATTTATTTTAAGTCAAAGATTTAAAAAATTCAAGTTGATATCTCTCATTTTTTTAATATCATAAAACATGGCTTGAAGAAGAAAAATACTATTATTTTTTCCATCCACTCAAATTATCACATTTTGACTTTTATTGGTAAAAATTTTTTGTTGACTTTTTTATTTTATATTTATTATCACTTAAAATATGAACAAATATTTTATAAAAAAATGAAGTAACTATTTATATTTATATATATTTTGCAAAATTTAATTAATTGAAATATTTAAAGGATAAAACGAGTTGCGTAAAAAGATAAGATAAAATGTAACAGTGGGAGTAACTACGAAAGATTGTTATCGACCGCAGAGTTGCAAACCTCCCGGACGGATTAGTTTAAAATGGGGAGAGCCAACGACAATTCCACGCCTTGCCCAGCCCAACACTCAAAGGGAACAAGTTTCCTTCCATACAATTATCTCTCTGCGCTGACTATTCTTTCCAAAGGTAATTCTAATAACTCTCCTCTCCTCTTCCATTCAATTTCTTTGTTTTTGTTTCAATTTTCATAGATCTTATCTGAACCCTCGCTCTCGTATTCCAACTTTAGTGTGTTGTTGGCATGTTGTCTTTGATGGGTTTTACAAGTAATTTCTTACGGTTGTTTAGTTTTATGTAAAATCGTTGATGGGTTTTCTTCTATTTCTTTGTTCCATACTTTGGTTTTTTCTTCACCATGTTATGGTTTTATTTAATCATTGATTGATTGAAGAATATGAAATAAGTATTACGTAAGTTCAAGTGTTGGAATAATATGCTTTTAAATAGTTTCGGCGTTTTTTTTAAGCCCTTCTCCATTAAGGTAAGATTAATTGAGGCTGCTGTCTCGAGTATACTTTGCTTTTTCTGGAGTTACTACCGGTCTCTTGCTATCTCAGTTGTTTGAAGCCCTATCAAACAGTTAACTGACAAAGAAAATAGAACTAGTGATTGAGGATAGTATTGGAAGTCTTATCATGTAATTAGCCCCTAATTATAGGAATTTTGCAAGCGTGTTCTAGTCTAAGATGACAGATATATGTGGCATGCATTCATGGACTCACTGCTGGTTCGAAAAAGATGGTGAAAAGTAGATGTTGATAGTATCTGGCTCACAGCCAACATCAGTTTTTAGGATAACAACTTAATAGCACTGCATAGCGATCATTGGTTTGTGTTGTGTATCTGCATTCATCTCTTTTTATCTATGGCCACACATCTTAAATTCATGTATGTACCACTTAAAAATGACTCAGAATGGTTTAATTTTTTATCTGTTGTTATTATAGAATTGTTTCCCTATGGTTATGTTCAACTAAAAGTCATTGATCTTTTCCTTTTAGTGTTGTTTTAAATTCGCATTGTGGGCATTTCATGCTATTTAAGGAATAACTGCAGGCATTATGGATGTGAGAGTTGGGCTCTTGTTCCTCTTTGTGTTGGGTGCTAGCTGGGCATCTGATGCTAGACAACTAGAAGCAGTTGAGGTGGTAATTTCTGATGCATCAGGTAATTCTGCCGCAGTTTTAGTAAAATTTGTAATGTTATCTTCTCTATTCTGTTTTTAAAAGAAATTCTCATATTCTTTTCCTGGGAGTGGGGGAGCGTGTTTAGCTTTTTGTGCTGTGGGATTTGTATGTTTATTGGTAAGACAAGAAAGATGATGCACAAAACTATTCTGTTAGTGAGAAACATCCATATTCAGATGAAGTTACTGCCTACTCTCTTAAATTACTTGCTTGTGAAAATGTCTGCATTAAATTATTGATTAATAATTTGCAGCTGAATATGGAACTTGGTTGGGGATTTGAAATAGAGCTTGCAATTGGACTGCTTGGGAGAAGTTTGGGTTAGATTTTCTAGGTTCTGAACATTTTTTGTTTTTGGCCATTTAAGATAATTTTGGATTTACCTTTAGGTCACTTTCAGAATTAATTTGGGTTGGGTTTCGGGAGGGTTTTGTGGGCCTTTTGGGGTTTAGGTTGTTTTTAGTTGGGTCAAAAAGACTTGTGTTCAGGCTGGTTGTGCAGGTCAACGGGGTTGGTCTGGTTTTCACCTCAAAATAATGATAAGTTGTATGAGGTGCCTGATGTGGTATTTTCCCGTGCTACATCACTGCTGTCTTCTGGTTAACATTCAAGTATAGCAACGAAGCACTATCTCCAATATCCTCTCTTGTTACATTTTTGGCGGTTAGAATAAGAGAATCTTAGCATAACAAGATCAACTGTATGAAAAATATGTATCCTCAAGGGTGATATCTGATTGTTACCTCAAAATATATATAGGCTACTTCATCAATTTCAATTATCTAGGCTGTTAGCTTTGACTGTTCATATGTTTGATGCATATTGCAGCATGAATTAATTTCCATATTTGGCAGACTATGGAAAATTTGGCACATTTGGCAAAAAGTGTTCATTTATAAGTGAGCTTTTTAAATGATTGCTCCTTGAAGATTGTGCTGAGATTAAGATGCCCATAGACATTCTTTTCTCAATTGAGAAAATTGATTTGCATTTGTTTAGCTTTTTAAATTTAAGATTTTGCAATGAAATTGCCGGATACAGAGAAAATAATAGAGTATAATGACATTGTAATTCCTGGTTCAGTTGTGCAGATAAACCAGGGGCAAGGTGAGGGAGTAGTAAAGAAGGTTGCTCGGAATGACAATGTGTGCACCTTGTGTGAGGAATTTGCTAATGAGGCAATTGATTACCTTTCCCAAAATAAGACCCAGACTGAGATAGTTGAGATGCTTCACAAGAGCTGCTCCCGTGTACCATCTTTTAAGCAGCAGGTAGTCATCTAGCTTAATTGCATGGAGGTGGCTTATGAAATTTTTTTAGCATAAGTTAGAAATAGATCGTTTCTGTCCATGGTACATCCCGCAAACCCCTATTGTAAGTTAGAAAGTAAAAACAGAGAAGCAAACCTTGTCCCCTCTCCTTTGTTTACCTTTTTCTTTGAGTATTGGCATTTCTTGTTCTTCATCTATTGTTTTTTATGTAAGTGAAAAAAGTCTTGCAATTTGGGTAGTTATGAAGTGGTGTTGGTAGAGTTCCATTCATCGGAACCTGCTTGACGGTCCACTTTTGAGGTTGCCTAGCCAAAAGCAAGCCCTGTTTAGATGATCAGACTGATATCTATATATCTTTTTCTCATGCATTAAGTGTCCAGCAGGATAAATTCCTGTATAGATCAATTGCTTCATCATGATGTTTAATTCTTTGACTACAGAAGCATGGTATATGAGTTTAATGATAAAACTGCCTCCATCTTTATCAATTAATAGGTTACAGGCATGATAAGCATCAAGTCTCATGCTATAATATCAAACATATTTTAGATGGGTATTTTTAAATTATACTTTATGGGGCAGAAGGGGATGGTAAAATTCCAACTCATCACAGAAAACTAAAAGCTTGAAATATTGAAAATTATTTTATCCACTTGATGTTCATGGATATTTTTAAATTATTTTGTCCTCTTCCTAAGTCCAAAAATTCTAAATGACTATCTGATCTTGTTCTGCACAGTGCATTACACTTGTGGACTATTATGTTCCACTCTTCTTCATGGAAGTCTCTTCAATACAGCCTGAAGACTTCTGTCGAAAGGTCAATCTATGTCAGAAAGTTGCACTTATTTCTTCACAAATCCGTGAAGATAGCTGTGGCATCTGCCACCGTGCCATTGCAGAAGTACTAATTAAGTTGAAGGATCCTGATACACAGGTTTGCATTGCTCCATCCTTTTTTTAAAACTCAATATGTGTCTACAAGGATTGATCTTATGATTAATTGGATGTCCTCATACCTGAACATAATTTCTGCCACACACACACAACCTTTTCTTTGCTTCTTTTGTTGGAATTGATGGAGGGGGAGGGTAGGAGGGCACCAGGGTGGCATTGTTGATGTTTCTTTCGCTTTCTTTCATATTAGCTGTGTTCTAAGTTACTAAAATGTTCCTAGAATGTAGATGTTATGTTGGGTTAACATCCATGTACTTTTAGGTTGCTTTTCTAAAATTTAGCCAGTGTCATTGACATATATGATGTATTGTATGTGCCAACAACATGAGGGTTGGAAATACTGGTTTGTAATTGGCGAGTTAAGATGTTGGCGTATTTGAAGCATACTGTGGTATTTCCGGTAATATGATATAATATGCCTCTTGGTAAAGAAGGATCATGTGGAATGTGAAAGGCATATGCCTTCTGGAAATATAACAGATATATTGCTTATTGGAGATTCTTTTTCTGCCTTGTTGCCAGCTGGATATAATTGAGCTCCTTTTGAAGGGATGTGATTCAATGCAGAACTATGTTAAAAAGGTGAGTGTAATTAAAGAA